CCTGCACTGCCTGGTGCTGGGGGGAGAGATGTCAAGCATGTAAGGCGTCATAACTGGGAGCAGACCCTCACTCTGCTGGAGAAACACCCGACCCCCAAAGCATCTCCGAATGGGCCTCGGGATGATGGTGGCCAAAGAGAAGAGGCTCTGAACCCCAAGGGATCAGCCAGAGCCTGGGACCTGAGAACTAGGAGGGCTGCTACCCGAGCGCCAGGGGGAGCCTGTTGCCGTGGGAGAGGGAGAGGTTTCTTGGGGGAACTGTGTGGCTGGCCTGGGGATGTCACTTCTGGCCTCCGGGCTCCTACCAGTTCAGAGCCCTGGGCACGGCGCTGGCACTCAGAGGAGAACAGAGGGACTTGGGCTCCTCCTGCTCCTGGGAGCACCAGCCAGCTCCTAAAATAGCACCAGACCTCGGAGGAGGGGGGAGGAGGGCTCTCAGCAGAGAGGACAGGACACAGCCAGGCCAGGCCACTGGGCAGAGCAGGACCTGATGAAGGAGAAAAGGGCTGTAGGCTGACCCTGGGGCTCCAGAACCGGAGGTCCAGAGCGTGGCAGGGCAAGGTTCTGAGAGTCCCGAGTGTCCCGAGGCCCCCATGTCCTCATACCCAGCCCCTGCCTCCACAGGCTGCTTTCCAGCCTAACTCTCAGCAGGAGGTCAGGGTCACCTTTCCTGGGGAGTAAAGCAGAAACAACAGAAAGCAGAAAGAACGCTGGCCTTGGGGCTCAAACAATCAGGGTTTCAAACCCAGCTTTCTTTGTGTGACCTGTTAAGTCACATAAACTCTCAGGACCTTCAGTTGACCTAGCTATAAATTAGATGAGCTTCCAGTTCCAGCCATGCAGAGACCATCTCCGTGTTTCTGAGGAATGCAGATCCTGGCCTTCAGCCCCTGTCCCCAACATTCAGCTGAGACCTTCCTAAACCTGCAGTTCTCAGCCCACTAGGAGGCCTGAGGGCTGGGGTAGGGGAGTGGGTGCCCAGCAGGCGAGAGGGCAGAGGCAACCTGATCCTCTCAGATTCCTCTCTTGCCCTGGGAGGAGGAGGACTTGCCCCATGAGACAGGGTCAGAGAAGGAATTTGGGAGGTCAGGTGGCTTCCCAGCTGTACTCCCTGTGGAATGTACTGGAAATTCTTTACAAGCCAGGCAACCCCTTCCGGTATATTCCTTCAGCATGCCCAAGAGAAGCTAAAACAGCAAGGAAATCTTTATCGCTCCCAGACAAAGAGCAAGGTCTGTCGGCATGGGTGTCCGGGTGGGATGGGGCAAGGGTCACCTGGAAGGGACACAGTGGGAGAGCTGGGCCCAGAGTTAACCCTTTAATGCCAACAAGCTCGGCCGGCCCACACACCCCGAGGGGTCTCTCAGTGGGGTCTCATCTCCATCAGCCCCGAAGCTCAGCCCTTGCTCTTCTCGGGAGGGGAAGGGCGTGGGGTTAGGAAGTCCGGTGGAATTCACACTTCTGCTTGGACAATCCAGGCCCTCTGGACAATGGGCCTTCCTAGTGCTTCCAGGACAGCGTCCAAGTTCCCGGAGACTCATGGGCTCACCCTGCTCTTTGGGCCTTCAGAGGAACCTGCCTGGAAAGGTTTAGGTGGCTTTTGTCCTGGAGCCAAGGGGGGTGGGCCGAGCAATCTGGGGGGTCCTTACTGGCCACAGAATCACTGTATGTATGGCAGGCAGTGTCCTGCCAAGGACCAAAGCTGTTCTGTAGATGAAGAAATTGAGGTCCCAAGACTTTACAACTGCACACATCTTTAGTGACAGACCCAGGATACGGACCTCTGTCCCCCACTGCTCATACAAGGTTCTCCCCTCTGGACTGCACTAGTGTGGGAGTCCAGGCCCATCACCTGCCCTGAAGTGGCCTCCTCTCTGAGGGCTGTGGACCGCTCTCCATCCAGCGCCCACTCCAAGAGGCTCAGGCAGAGCTGGGAGGAGGCACCAGGGCCAAGACCCTCCTGCCCCCTGCTGCCCTGCCCTTCCCTAGAGCCTCGCCCGGGTCTTACCTCCGAACAGGGGCTGCTGGCAGATCCCGGAGGTGTCTGCTCGGCTCGGCAGGGACTGGGCGAGGGCAGTGATGGAGAGGGCTTTAAGCAGGCATGTGGGCTGGGGCCTTGGGAGCCAAGCCCTGCAGTGGGAGGAATGTGCTGCAGGAGACGGGGAGGGCAGGACACAATGGAGGGGTGTTGGCTGCTATTTTGGCAGGTGCTGGGACAGGGCTAAAGGAACATGTACCCCACGCCATATAAGCCCATGTGGTCCTCCAGCTGCTCAGATAAGCTATTTAAAACCAGAGCAGATATGCAGGGAACAGGCTTGTAACACAAACCAGCTGTCCCTCTTGAGAATCCTGATAAAACAGATGCCAGCAACCCAGACCTGGTCAGGCAGGCTGGGAGCAGGGATGAGGGCAAGCATTGATCTGCAGCTCCTCCAAAACTGATACTGGGTGTAAAGATGCCCTTCTTACAGGCCAAGCAGCCTCTGGCAGTTTGCAGAGTCCATGGACCTCAGCGGGGGCATCTGTAAATCGGGCCCTCTGCACGAGCCCAAGGCCACGTGCCAAGCCCCCCTTACGAGGCACGGATTGGAACTGCTAGAGGAGGTCAGATACGAGTTAGAGCAGCCGCTTTCCCTGCAGGGGCACTGGGCCGTGTAAGGCAGGGAAGAGATTGAAGTTCATTCCATAAGGGTTTCAAAATCATGCTTAGTGGCAGACTGTAAGGTCCATACGTGCAGGGCTCAGGGTTTTTGCCCTTGGCTTGCACATGTGTGTCCCTCAAGTACAGTGCATGACGGAAATGAATAGGAGCAACACAAGCCAAGTCTGCAGACAGCTGAGCTCTCTCCCCTCAAGCCTCCTGCCTCTCCGAGGCCCAGGTCGTGCCTGACCCTGAGGGAAGTCCCTGCTCTGGACTGGGACCTTCTGTCCCCATGTGTCCCTAACACTTCCCAATCTTGCTCACTAGTGACCCAAACTCTTCTTTCCGTTCCCTGGAGAAAGCAGCCCAGCCTCACTCACTCCTCTCCTTGGCTGAGCCCTGCTCCAGCCTTCCCGGTGGGCGCTCTCCTCACCCCTCAGAGTGGGAGGGACACGGCTGCATCCACTGCTACCATCCCTCAAAGAACTCCCCGCACATGGGACGTCCACTTGCTCTGCACCTGCTAGCAGATTCCTGCCCCATCACTCAGCTGACAGTCCCCCCAATAGTCCCAGCGGCCTCTGAGCCTCACAACCTTGATTCCCCAGCACCAGGCTTATCCTGGGCCACAAGACCCTCACTCTGCCAGCCTCCACAGCAGAGCAAGCTGGAGCCATGGACCTGCTGGCCAGCATCCTGAGGAGGGGGCCACTGGGAAGCAGGGGGGCTCGACAGAGAGGCAGATAGAGACAGCAGACTCAGAGGGATGGTAAAGAAGGAACTGGGCTATCCAGAGAAAGAGCAAGGGCAGCTTCCTCACCCCTACCTCCCTCTCTAGCCCACAAAGCCCAGCCTTGCCCCAGGTCCAGGTGTCTTCTGGAATGTTAGACTTGCTTTTCCTAAACCCGCTCTGTGAGTCACTGTTCCTAGTAAGCCCAACAATCCTTCCAACAGGGCATAGCTTGTTTGCATAGACGCCTGGTGGAAGCATCTGGGTATCTAAATCCCCGCAGAAGTCCCCCAAGAAAAACCCGGTAGATTCCTGGTATCCATGACCATGGGTATGAGGCTTTTACTAATGGCTCGAAGTCAAGGGCTCCATCCAGAGAGCCGGGAGCACCCACTTAGCTAAGGAGAAAAGCCAGTCACTATCTACCAGCCACGCCTCGGGACCTCTGGGCTGCTCCCAAGCTGATTTGGATGCCTGAGTACTTGCAAACAGTCACCTGCCACTGCTAACGGGAGATGGAAGGGAAAACAAAGCCACCGTGGTAAGGAGAGAAGCATGCTGGGACACAAACCTGAAGACCCACAGAGGACAGGACTTGAAGGCTCCAGGGCCATGGGAGCAGGGGCCAGGAAGGAGCGGTGAGGACAGGAGGGCCATTCTACCTCTAGGGGGCGTCCGAGCATCACCTCATCCAAGAGGGATGCCCACCTGTCGTGGTCGCCACCACAGTGCCCTTAGCCCCAGGTGAAGTCATCCTGTCCATTTGTTTCCTTATCTGCTGCCTCCCCGATGGGATGAAGGCAAGGGCCCCCCATGTTGGGCGGGTAGGTGCACAAGGAGAGGGAGCCATGGAGCCAAGGCCCCGGGCTTCTCCCCCAAAGCCTGCCCTGCATGGGCAACCCAGGGAGGGGTGCAGGCACAGAGGGCACTGCCCCAGGAGGCCAAAGCTGCTACACAGCCCCTCCACTGCCGGAGATGGGCCAGGGTGCCTGCTGGAGGGGCCTTCCAGAGCTTGAATCGTGAGCACCTGAAAGTCCTCCAAGATCACCTGCTTGAACCCAGAGGCTCAGAAGGGAAGTGTCTCAGGGTCACACCTGGAATTTCCAGCAGGGCCAGAGCAGCTGGGGTCTCCTGTGTCTCTGGGCAGAACTCAGCCTGCTCCTCTCCCCTGCCCAGCTCCAGTCCACTCCCAGCTGCAAGCTGGGCACTTGGAGACACTGCAGCCCAGATGCAGGATGCATGGTGCTCAGGGAAGGCTCCAGGAAATGCCACCCAAGCTCAGAGAGGGCAGGAGCCAGCCTCAGGAGACTCATGGGTGGAGGCGGCCAGCCTGGAACACAGAAGCCTGCATACAGTGGGCTCAGAGGACCTTCTGTGCCCTGGATCACAGACCCAAGGCAGGATTCTCACCCGGATCACAAAGACTAAGGTGGGGCTGGCTGCTTCTGCCCCATACCCTTGGGGAGCTGGGGCCTGGTGCACCTTAGAGGCCATCCTCTGAAAAGTTTGGGGGTCCCCAGGTGTGCAGATGGGGAGTGGGCAGGACTGTGCACCTACTGTCACCCCCCAGCCAATTCTGGGTAAGACCAGAGCAGCCAATTGGGATTATGAGTTTGAATGACTAAAGAAAAAAAGCTATTTTTTATGCTACAGCCTTAAGGAGTTTGTAGGGCACCAGGTTGCCTTTCTAGGTTCTCGATTTGATTTGTCCTGAGTTCCTGATGGCTCAGCATTCTCCAGACCCTCCAGGCCATGGTGTTAGAGGAATGGGGGACTGGATTTGGGGGGAAGGTTGGGTGGGATGTGTACATGGTGATTCTAGACTCCCAAGGCACCAAGCTACAACCACCCAGTGGCAAGTCTACCACCATCCTGGGAGAAGAGGGGCAATCAGGAAAATGACCCTCCTTCCCACGCCAGCCAAAATAATCCTCCTCATACCCTGAAGATGATCCTTGTTCCCTAGGAAGGAATTCATTTTTAAAGTATCATCCGTCGCTTACACCTGAGAGTGAGTGAGTTTATCAGATCCTTCCTGAGAACAGGTTTTTCTGAGAGGGTAGGCTAAGCTGTTGCACATAAAGGCTCTGAGTTCCCAGCCAGCACAGCAGGCCGGGGAAAGGAAGCGGGAAGGGGGATGTAGGGAACAAAGCAGGAAGATGAGCACGTGGACAGTGCTGGGAGAGTCCTTCCCCCTGGCCTGAGGGCTTTGGCAGGTGGGAGCAGCGCCCCCGCCCCAAAGAGGGTGTGTAGGTCCAAGCCTCAGCGCAGAAGGCTTCACGGGAACATGGAGACACCTGCCGGGAGCAGATGAGACAGGTGACCCTGGAGTTCTGCAGAGGCAACCCCGTCCTGACCCTGATGCTGGAAATAGGCAGGAGGGAGGGGGTGCCTCTGAGGAGGACACTAAGGCTCCACAGCGCTGATGGGCTGCCACTGGGTCCCGGATCTACGGTGCTTGCAGCAGGACAAGAAGGTGCCAGGGTACAGCTGCCCCAAAGGCTGCACTGGGAAGGAGCTGGCTGGTGTCACTGACATTCCCGGCCCCCAAGGGCCCTGACCAGACAGCTCCAAAAGCAGAAAGGGAGCGGGGCTGTGACAGACAGAGGTGCTGCTTCGGGAGGTAGGGCCTGGCTTGAAGGAGGCCCCTGCGAGGCAGAGTGGTAGGACTGTCTCCGCAAGCCTGTCACACCTGTGGGCAAAGGTGAATGAGAATGAGGGAAGGGGCTCCTGGGCCTGGGAGGGAAGGGGCTCTCCGGTCAGGAAGACACCCCTGTACCAAGCCCCATACCCACTCGAGGTCAGAGACCCGAAGTCTGCTAGCTGAGGCAGTGGGGCTTTGTGAGCTGTTCGGCAAAGCCAGGGCTCCCCGTGTGCTCAGGCGGGGTCCAAGCAGCCCAGGCATGCAGGGACGGGGCATTCTGGAGGCTTGGACGATAGTTGCTGGCCAGTGCACACGTGGGAGGGGCACTCACTGAGTAGCCACAGCCCTCTGCCCCGGCCAGGGCCCTCCCGCTCCGTTCACCTCAGCATCCAGGGAGCCATCTGACTTCTTAGCCCACTGAGTCCTCTTGGCAGCTGCCGTCTCTTTCTGTACCTCCTGATTGGGGACATTGGGGTGGAGACCAGAGACTAAGGCAGGGCTGGCGAGCGGCATGGGTTCTCCAGCCTCCCCTGCTCAGGATGGAGAATGTCCCCAGACCTATGCCTCCTCTTTGCTGCCTGCTGACCTGCAGCCACCCATGGCCACCCTCCCTCCTTCCATACCATTTCCACTCCTGAAACAATCCATTGCTTTGGGGCTGTCCCTCCCCTGACCCAGATCATTCCATTCCCAAAAAGGTCCCCATGAGAGCCACCAAGGAGGGACAGGGTACCTGAGGGTCCTGGTCTCCCGACTCCTGGGTCCTGGTAATCCACAGATTGATCCTTGACGTCACGACCCCAGACAGCCTCAGGTTGTCCTAGAAGACATGATCCATCTCAGGGCTTGAGGCCACTGGCAACAGCAAAGTCATTGCAAAGGCCCTGGAACAAGGACAGGATTCCACCCCATGCCCACGTCCCTCCAGCACATGTTGAGCACCTGGGATAGTCCCACCACTGGAGCTACGGCCCCAGCCGAGGAGCCCCAGGCTCAGCCAAATGGCAAGTTGAGCTCCTGCCGACACTGACATGAAAACAAGTTTTCCAGCCCCGGCACCACTTCCTTTTGGGCTTCAGAGACCTCTGGGCTCATCAGCCTAGAGACACCAGCTGGGCTTCATCTCTCACCTTCCGGCTGGAGGCCGGGTCCGCACGGCTCTGACCAGCCAGTTCCTTCTCAAAGAGGTGGCGTTTGCTGGCTACACCCGTGGGAGCCACGAAGAACTCAGTGCGGGAGGAGCCTTGGGACCTGACGGATTCTGATCTCTAGGAACAAAGACAGAGCCAACTGAGCTGTGGGCATGAGGTGCATGGACTATGCCCGCCTCTCATCCCCACATCCCACCTGCACAGCCGTGTGGTATCTCTCCAGCTTCTCACCCAGCTTGACTGTGCTGGCCGGCAGTCTCACGCTGGCACTGCAGGGCGGGAACCCGGGACAAGACAAACCAGGTGAGACACTCTGCTCGAGGATGCCAGGCCTGTGCCCAGGTCTGAGAAGTGGTCCTTACCACATCCTGCCACTCTGGCCAAGAGCACCGGGCCCTCCGGGGCAGAGTATATACATAAGGGACGACTTGACCAAGGGCAAGATTACACACTCCAGGGATTGTCCTCACTTCTGGAGAAACAGCCCGTTCAGCAGGACGTCCTAGGGTCCAAAATATCCTCTGCAGCTCTCTGCTCTCCTCCCACTTCCAGTCTCTTCCACCAATGCCATCTCCTGAAGCTGGCCCTTCTCCATTTTCTCCACCGCTGCAATCACCTCTACCTTCCCTACCTGCCATCATCCTCAGGGCCACCAGATCATTCCTACCTCAAACAGATCTGCTCTGGTCCTTCCAGCCCAGACCCTAGGAGCCAAAGGACAGGGAGTGAATTCCCTGGTGCCTCCCTCTCAATGCGGACACAGGCCCTCCCCGCCACATGGCAATGTGCCAGCCAGCCAGGCATGTAGTGCTTTCCACGCTGTGCCTTCTTACATGCTGCTCCCTCTATGTAAAATGCCACTCCTTGCCAGGCACAGTGGTGCATGCCTGTAATCCTAGCACTTGGGAGGCTGAGGCAGGAGTGTTGCAAGTTCATGCCCAGCATAGAGAACTTAGTAACTTAAGGAGACCCTGTCTCAAAATATTTTTTAAAAGGGATAGGGATGTAGCTCAATGCAAAGGTCTTATGTTCAATCCCCAATACAGCCAAAAATAAAATAGTTAAATGCTACTCCCCCAGTTTTCCAGCTGGAAATCTCTCACTGGTCCCTAAGTTCCATCCTGAATATCACTAGCATGGTGATACCTGGCCAGCTCCCTGCAGCTCCTGAGCGCCACCCCTCCTGTTCCCCCAGCCTGGCCAGCTCATGCAGATTCAGTGGTCTTACATGGGCTGTTTGAGGGCCTTACTGTGTCTTGTCTTTGTTCCCCCTCCTCCTCCTTCCCCAAGCCCCAGACCTCGCCTAGTACAGGGGCCTCAGTCCGGATTGAGAGCACAGCTGGATGCAGCTCAAGTGGGTGAAATTCCTAACACCAGCACGCCTACTTTTCAGCTCCTATTGCAGCTTTCTTCTCGATGCACAGTCCTCAGACTACTTGTGTCAACGTTACAGGCCATGGGAGTACTTGTTAAGCGTGCAGTCCCAGACCCCAAACCCAGGCCTGCCAAGACAGGCTTCCCCTTCCTTGCCCTGTTCAGAGTCTCCTCCCTGCAAAGCCCTTCTCCCCCTTCCACCCTGATCCCCAGACTAAAGGCTTCTCCCCTTCAGACCTCACCTACACACCGCCTCCTCCGAGCAGCTCTCTCCATACCTCCCCACCATCCACCTCGCCAGGCCTTAGTCCCTCCCATTCACCATCCCCCTGCCAGGTCTGGAGTCCGGGCAGAAAACTATACCCCCACCCCGGATGCCCTGTGACATAGCTTTGCACACAAAGAAGTGGCAGATACCCAGAAAATATAGGACAGGAGAAAAAGCCTCCAGGCCGCCCCCACCTGCGGGTTAAGGTTGTCTCGGAGTTGTCTTTCCTGGGGCTCATCTGAAATGACAAGGGGAGCCACTGGTGAGTGGGAGTCCCGGGGAGACCTGTGCCCACCCTCGCTCAAGAGACAGGCCCAACTCTCAGAGTACTTCCTCCTCCTAACCCCCACCTCTAAGCCTTCACTAGAGGGCCTTGCCTTACCTGGGAAGTACCTGCCTCCACCCACCAGTCCGAGTCCAAAGCCTTCCTCTGCCTCCTCCATCCTTGCTCAGGGGACCTCAAATCACCTGTCTTCCTACCTGCACAAGAGCCCTGACAGCACCGATCAACCTCAGCCCTCCAGCCTCCTCCCCAGGGCCTGGCACACATTAGGGCACAATGCACAGTCAGTCAATGAATGAGCAGATGAACCAGTGGACAAATGAACAAAGAATGCATACTGGGACAAGACTAGATGAGACTCACTGAGACATACAACTGGGTCAGGGGCAGAGCAGAGAGCATTAGGAGAGCCCCACGCCCTCAGCCCTAGGGAGAGCCTCCAGGTGAGGACCCAAACAGAAGAGGGTAGAGGGCAGTTGGGGGTGTGCACCATCTTCCTGCAGCTCTGGCCTTCTCCACTAGGTAGCGCTGCTCATGCTTATTCACACTCAGGGACTGTCAACCTCCTTGCCACGGGAATCCAAAGGCCCCCTATCCAGGGGAACTTCTTGCTCCTAATTTAAGGCTCTCATGCTCCAGGGAGTGCTGCTTTCCTTGGTTTGCCCACCAGTGGATTGGTGACAAGGGTGCCCTGGACTCTCACCCGAAAGGAAATGGTCCTGGGGCTGGAGCGTTTGAGAGAGGTGCTATAGGTGACCTGGGTGGGTGAAGGTGCGTCTGCCGCCTCCTCCTCCTTGCTGGGGATTTTCACCTGAATGGAGCAAGGGGAGTGTCATACAAGAGGTCTAGAACTCACCTTCCTTGGCAGAGGTCTAGGCCCCTCCCAGGCAGACCCTGAGCTCCAGCCGCCACGGGGACCCCATGTGGCCAGACTTCCCAGGAGCTGCAGGAGTAAGGGACAGAAGGACACCTGGGCCTCACTCTCCTGCCTCTGCTCTGGGGCAGCCAGCATAGTCCCATGGGGCCAGGCCACCAGGCAGAGCTTTCCAGGAGAGCTTCTGGAAGGATCGGAGGCTTCCTTCTGGGATAGACAAGGAGTGGTACAGGGTCCATTGCTCCCGCCATACCACTGGTGCCCCTTTCAGCTCCAGCAAACTGCCCTGCCTCCATGGCCCTGTTCTCACAGTAGCTGCCATGGCCAGCCTGCAGGTAGGAGGACAGGAGGCAGCAAGGGGCAGAGGCTCCGGGGCAGGACTGGCAGGGAGGCCAGCCAAGGAGGAGGAGGGCAGGAGGGGCGGGAACACTGCCAACCTGGATTGTAATGGGTGGGAAGCGGGAGGCCACAGCTGGAGAGCCAGCCACCCTGCGCTCCACTTCGGAGGAAGATGGGCTCTTCCGGGAGACAGCCCTTCCTTCTGGCTCCCGCCTGCTGGCCTGGCTTCCCCCAGCAGCCTGGGGCTGCGCGGATGCTGCTGCCTTCTTGGGGCCCAGCTTTGTCTCAGCAGCTGAGGACTTCTCAAAGAAGGATGCTTTCTCAGACACCACGGAAGGTGCTTTCTCTGGCAGCTTCTCAGAGATGCTGACTTTTTCTGGATCTTTTTTCTTGTCCAATGTGGACCTTCTCTCCAGTGCTGCTGTCTTCTCGGACACAGGTGCTTTCTCAGGACCCAGCGACTTCTCAAGGATGCTCGATTTTCCTGGAGCAGACTTCTCTGGGGTGCCTTTCTTCTCCAGCGCTGCCATCTTCTGGGACAGAGCTGTCCTCTCTGGGGCCAGCAGCTTCTCAGGGAGGCAGCTTTTCTCGGAGGCCAGTCTCTTGGTGGGTGCCACAGTCTGCTGTGGTGTGGAGGACTTCTCCAAGACCAAGGTCTTCTCCGGAAGCCCCTTCTTCTCCCCGCTTGGCTCCTTGCTCACCAAGCACTCCTCATCCTGGGCCCAGGGACCCCGCTGCTCTCGGCTCAGTCTCCGGCGAGGCAGGGCTTCCGGTTCCTTCTTCGGCGCCAGGGGCTGCTGCATGGCCTGCTCAGGGCTGGAGCTGTCCCTTCCCTCCTCGGCCCCCAGCCTCTCCTGCACAGGGGCCTGGGCTTCCACTGCCTTCTGCCTCTGCCTCCGCTCCTGTCGTATCCTGAGGATGGACTGGATGTCTTCATCCTCATCTTTGGGGCCTGGGGGTGGTGGCTTGGGCACCTCTGTTTCCTCCACACTGGGCAGCCTGAGTCAGAAGACAGGAAATGGAATTAAAGGATATCAGAGATGAGAGGGACCCTGGGTGCCCTTGACCCAATAGAGATCCTGCCAGGGCCACCACGGAGGGGTCCAGAAAATCAGGCCCTTGTCTTCCTGGCCCACCACCATTACTTAATAAGGATCACTTGTATCTGCTCTACATTTGGGGCTTTCATGGTATCATTTGAACAAAGTACTCCATGCTCCTTGAAAAGTTTACAGACCCCTGTAAAATCCAACAAACATGTGCTAGGTCCTGTGCTGGGCACTAGTGATCAAAACGAGCAAATGCAGTTCCCTTCGAGCCTAGAGTGAGACCAGAGGTGTTTAGGACTTGTCAAAGGTCACACAGTGGTAGGGAAGCTGAAGTAGACCCCAAAGCTTCTCAGGCATCATCCCATACACATGTCAGCCACATGGGTGGGGCTGGGACCAGGTGGCAGCCACAGGTTTGGAGCAGCTCAGGGCGTACCCAGTCTCCCTTCTCTGGGGAACACAAGGACACAAGAACAACACAAGAGGATTGCCCAAATCCCTGGGCACTTTGTCTCCAGCAAAAGGAGATTCTTTTCTCCCACCACCCTGCTCTCCATCTGATTTCTGGCAAATTAACATATTACCCAAGCCTCGGATTTCAAATCTGCAAGCTAGGCCTGGAGGAAGTGAAATGACACTCACATACTCATCCTATGAGAGTGCCCAACACAGTCCTGGCACATAAGTGGCATTCGCTGTGTTCCAGGCTCTTCTCTTCCTTTCTCTCTAATCCCAAAATGTAATGCAAGATTGGCTCCTGCGGTCCTCTGCTCAGGTGTGAATTATGGAGTGCCAAGGCTGGAGGGCAGTGGGTTGGCCGAAGGGAAAGAGTTGGACCACAGAACTTGACAATCTGGATGAAAAGTCTGGCTTTGCTAGGCTTAGGTATATGATCCCTTCAAGTCATCTAAGTCTTCCTGCTCCCCAGCTCTCCCACTGCAAAACAATAAGCTATGTGAGGATTAAGTGAGCTATGTCCATAAAATATCCAGTGAAGTATGGGCTCACGGGGTGACTCAATCTTTTAGGCGGAGGTGGGGCCTGGCAGGGCTGCCAAGGGGTTCAGGGAAGGCAAGGAGCTTGAAGTTCACATTCACACCCTTCAGTCTCATTCCCTGGGCCTCGAGTCCCTGTGTGGCCAAGCATATTTCATGTAGTCAACCCAGGGCAGCTAAATCCATCCCTGTAACCTAGGACACGACCATGATGCCCAGCCAGCATCCAACTCAAATACCTCTCAGCAGCCCGCTGGTCTCCATTCTGGGTGGGCCTGGGAGCCTCGTCGTCCGTGGTAGAACTCAGATGGCGGTGCCGCCGCCTTCGTTCACGCTCCTGCTCCTCCTCGTCCTCCAGAGTCCGCTGCCGGGCCAGGCTGGGGGAAGGAGGTGAGGCTCAGCACAGCCCCTGGACACCCGAGCACCCTTCCCGAGGGAGACCTCCCGGGCTGGGGGAAGACAAAACACTCCACAGGCTGCGCTGGCTCCGGGTGGCCAGGCGGCACTAGCCACACAGACTGTCAGAACCGAGGTGCTGTGTGTATAAACTACACACTGGACTTGCAGGCTCAGGATGAAAAACAAAATGTAGAATTTGTCATTCAGAATTGTGTGGCTGCGCATGGCGGCAGGCACCTGTAGTCCCAACTAATTGGGAGGCTGAGCCAAGAGGATTGCCTGAGCCCAGGATTTAAATGCCAGTCTGGGCAACACAGTGAGACCCTCACCTAAAAAAGAAAATTGTGTATATTGATTACATGTCAAAGTGATCATATTTGGATATACTGGGGTAAACGCAATATACTGCTAAAATTATTTTTGTCGCTTTCTCTTTACCTTTTTAATGCGACTACTAAACAACTTTAAATTTTCGCTGTAGTTCATACTGTATGATGTTATGGCTTAGATCCCCAAATTCTCATGTATGTGGAAAGTGATTGGATCACGGGGCACTATATCCATCTTGGATCCAATTCATCCACCAATGAGCTCAGCAGCTGAATGTTCTGTAAGGAGATGGGGCACTGTGGACTTGACCTGGAAGCTCATCTCCTTCCCCAGCTCTTCTGCTTCCTGGCGCCATGGAACGAGCCACTGCCCTCCACCCCGGCCCTTCCACCATGCTGTTTTTGCCTTGGAGTTTGCCAACCATGAACCGAAACGTCTAAAACTGTGAGCCAAAGTAAACACCCCTTCCTTTAAATTGATGGTGTCAGATACTGTGTCTCAGTGAGGGGAAGATGATGAAGACGTAGGGGCATTAAATTTCTATGAAATGTGCAGGAATTTGAGAGACCAAAGCTTCTCTCAGCACCACTGACATTCTGCCCAGAGCTGGGGTTTAGCTCAGTGGTTCCGGTGCCTGCCTCAAAAGCACAAGGTCCCGAGTTCGATCCCCAGTACCAAAAAAAAAACAACAACAACAACAACACTGGATATTCTGGCCAGATAATTCCCTGTGGAGGGGCTGGATGAAAGATGTTGACTACATCCCTAGATGCCAGCACCAATATCCCTCAGTCGTAACAACCAAATGTGCTTCCCAGTATTATCGAATGTCCTCTGGAGGCCAAAATAACCCCAGATGAAAACCAGTGTTGGGCTCAGTGACCTGGTTTCTGGTCCTCCTCCCCTGGGCAAGTCATTTTCTCTTCTCTTCCCCAGTGTTTGCTCTTAAAATGAGGAGAATGAGCTGCATGACGGTTCTGCTTTCTCTAGGTCCAGCATCACCTTCACACAGCCAACAGTCAAGAAACATACTTTTTTGGCACCTACTTGCCAGGCCCAATTCCAGGCGCTGGGAATGAGACCAACAGTCCCTCCCTTCATAAAGCACATGGTGGGAGCCTCACAGTGAGCAAGGACAAAGCCCATGAACAAAATGACATTAGTAAGTGATGAGGGAGAGGGTACCGCAGTAGGAGGCCTCTGCAAGACCTGGTCCACAAGGAGGAGCCAGGAGGAGGTCACCACAAGAGCAGAGCCCTGGCGTGAGGAGCTAGGTGTTCAGGGGACGAGGGTAAGACAGGGCCAGAGAGAGGCCTGCAGGCAAGCTGGGCAGGGAGTGAGGGCAGAGCAGAAGGCCCAGGAAACCCCTAGTACCCAGCATGGTGACCTGCACACAGCAGACGACAAAAGCAAATGTCAGCTCTCGCCACTGCAGGCTCCTCCTCCTCCTCCCCAGAAATCTCCAGGTCTGTGCCTTGATCCAGAAGAGCACAGAGTGGGGAGCACAGCCTGAGCCCCCAAAGACAATCTGCATAGGGAGGGTGCCCGCAGATCACCCACAGGGAAAGAGCTGTCCTGGGAGAGCACTTTCCAGATCCTCCTGTTCTGCCATCAGAGCAGCTGTGCTTGGTGACAGCCTCAACCCCATCGGTCACACTTCTACTCTACCCCAGTGGCAACAGAAAAGGGCCCCAGCCAAAGTCTTCCTCTGTTGGCCTTGAACGCAGGACTTAAGTAAGATTCCCCTGGGCCTTCGCATGAGCCCTGCAAGCTCCACGTATCTGCACCTTCATTCATTCATCCACTCACTCACATGAGCTGGTCTCCTTTGAGCCAGGCTGAAAGCCATCTCTCCTCTACTTCTTCTTCAGGCTCCCTGTCAGTTCCTCTGTTTGTTTTCATCCAAGGTCACCTCTTCAGCTCTCTTCTCCTCTAGATGCACCTCCCTGTGCTGGTTCCTAGTTTAGGAACAGCTCTTGCCCACCAAAAAGGGATCCATATACTGCAGAAATTGACCCACAAAACCCAAAGCTGCTTCCCACACCCATAGAAGGGCTGGGCTGCTGCCTCCGGGATTCTTTGGTCCTGAGCAACCTGGTTCCCACACGCCGCTCTCAGCCCTCGGGGAAGCTGCATATTTGTTTATCCTCCTGTGCGGCCAAATATGATGTGTGATCCACCTGAGCCTGGTCTCAGAAGTGACTCACTTCACTCCCTAGGCTTGGCTAGGGGTCTCCAGGGCTGCTGTAGGAGATGGGGCTTGGGAGTCCTTCAGTGGTCCCAAGCTCCACACCAAGACTCTTGTAGTCACTTGAGTGGCATTCACCACCCCTGCTGATCAAGAACCACAGGACACCGCCATCACCACCCTGGGAAGGAATTTATCTCCAATAAGCAAAGATTACTGGCCTCTAAAGATGAGGAAATGGACACAAATGGGAGCAAAAGAAAGGCAATGGTCAGTCCTCAGGAAGGACCTGGTCAGGTGCATTTGCCATATAATAAACACATAACGGAGGCTTAGAATAGGGCTTCGCACTGGTTGAATATGGTGAAAAATAAATAAATAAGAGCACAAAGGAGGAAGTGAGAACACTAATACTGCCAGGCACTGTTCTAAGTATTTTACAATTCTTGGATGTTAATCCTTATAACCCTGTGCAGTAAGGTGGTGCTATCTCCAATTTGCATACAAGGAAAGTAAGGTACAGAGGGATTAATACTTTCCAAAGACAGCACAGTTAATTAAAAAAAAAAAATAGGAACCAAGATTCCAACCTAAGTCAGCCTCTCAAAACATCAAGCCCTTAACCATGATTCCAACGGCCAGAAAAGAACGGAGGGGTGGGGGCCACTGGTCCTAACCAAGAGGCAGCACCACCTTCGCAGGAGGCCAAGCACTCCATTACAAGGGAACAAGGGAGCCCTGGGAGGAGGTCCTCTGAAGGTCCAGGATTCTCCACCCCAGGACAGGCTGGGGCTCAGGGCACTGAGAGAGAGAGGTTTAGGGAACCGAATGACCTGCAAGCCCCAGAGCCAAGCCCTGGGTGGAACTTGCAGCCCCAACACCTGGGGATCCCAGCCACTCTCCCTCCCTGGGAAGACGCCTCACTCCCCCTTCCCTCTCCAGAACCCTCTCCTCCACCTCCTGGGGCGGATTCCCCACATCTGGGGAATCACAACCCTCTCCTTGTAGGGCTGCTCTCCTTCCCCACTCCTGACTGCACCAACTCCATCCTTTGGGGACTGGGTCCTCGTCCTCTTTCTCTTAATTCTAAAGCCATTCTGCCCTGCTGCTCACAGGAGAGCTTTGATCTCTGGTTTGATCTCTCCCTGTGGAACTTTCTTCCTGATGTCTAAATTCCATCTATTCTACTGCAGGAGTCTTAAGTACAGTGCTTGTTAGATGTTTTGTTCAGCAGTAGAACTTATTTTCCCAACTGGATCACGTACAGAATCACATATGGCATCTCAAGGCTCAGCTGCTCTGGTTAAAGTCAGGAGAGGACAGGAGAGCTGCCCCGGAAGCATTCTGTGGGCCCAAGGAGCAGGGTTTAGGAAGGAGAGAGCAAAAGAGAGAGTCCATGACCTTGGCCTAAACTTCAGGCCCTGAGCAGGCAGGCCTTGGGCTCCCCTTCCACCAGCTGAGGCGTCAGTGTGGTCTGAGGTCCCTTCTGGCACAGCTGGTCTAGGGGAAGTTTGAGCAGAGCCCAGGAAGTGCTTAGAGGTGGGAGGGCTGCTCAAGGCCCGGGCAAGGAAATGATTAACCAGGGGCTGCTCTGTCCCAGGCACCCTCAGACCCACCTCTCACCCCCTGCAGATAGGCCTGGCTTAGCTTCACCCTCACAGGTCACCAGGTCAGCCCAGGGAGGAAAGGACAAGGCTGCTGATCAGGGCAGCCAGCCAGCTCACCACTGCTCCCATCCCAGGGCTGGAGCATCTGGAGCTTACTTACTGCCAAAGCGTGCTGCAGGCTGGCCCTCGGCTCCCTTCCCTCTTCCCTACCTGGGTGCTGGCTGGGGCCACACTGGTCATGCCCTCTGCACAGTCCTCCTGACCTGGGAAGCTCAGTTGACAGTGACTCACAACCCTTTCCTGCCGGCCCGCTGAGGCTTGTTCACTCAGGGATGGGAGTGGGAGCGGTCCTCTCTTCCAGGTGCCTCAGGGTGACTGTTGGCAGCAGCTGCGTCTGCCCACAGGGCTCGGGGAGGGCCAGGCACGCAGGGCAGGCAGGGGCTCCATGGCAGGATGGGTTCCCCAGGGCTTCCTGCCGCTTAGCCTGGACATCCCATGGGAACTGGGCCCCACCTCTGCAGCGACATGAGTCCACGTCCATCTCAGCAGTGGAGAAGCAAAAAGACCGGACCTCATTCCCATTTTAAAAGTCCCAATGCTCCCTCTGCCCCTCCCACACCTTAATGCATATCTACACATGCTCTCAGAAACAAAATCACCACCAGGATGTGAGCTTCTGAGAAAGTAATGTCTGACTTTGTATTTTTAACTCAATTCACAATCCCGAGGTCTTCAGTAAATATTTAAACTAAACATACTTGGACTGGCAAGCTCCAAACTCAGCACAAGAAGCTACTGCCCACACAGACATCTCATCACTACACACGGCACAAACACACTCAGCCACAGATGGCCACACACGTATCTGAGCATGTACTCAGAAGCACAGATATGCCCACACCCAGGGGTGCTGCCACATCAACCCCGAGCACACTGACCCACATGCAGAGTCCAAGGCCTTGACCCCCAGCCCCACCCTCAGCACAAACCTTCCCTGGGGTGTGTCCAACCTGGACGGCAGTCTGGGTTCCCTTCCAGAGCGCCGGGTCCCTTCCTTCCACTCTCAGACTTACCTTTTCCCTTCTCTAGACCCCATTGATCTCTTGGGGAGATCTTGGGGAGCCTGGGCAACTGCTTCAGAGCACTGTGAGGTCCTGAGGGCCTGGGGAGGTGGCCCCCAGCTCAGGACAAGCTCTAGAGTTCTTCAGGGTCAGGGGTGGGAGGGGGAGGAGGAGGAGATCTAAAGTGCTGGAAAATTGGTGAAAGACGCCTCAATGGGGAAGCCCTGTGCCCACACCGCTGGAGGGGCCCGGGCCGCACCTGCAGTACAGCCCTGATCCCATCCACCTGGGAGGAACCAAGAGGTCAATTTCTTCGGCTAGAGCCTAAGGGGTCAGAGGATTCGGGCTCCCGCTCTGGGCTACTGCATGGGCCTCAGTTTCCTCAGGGACAGGATGGGGGGGGTGCTTCCTACTGGGAGGATGAGGAGACAGAGGTCATTCCAGTACCTCTGGGGAGAGGGGAAGGCAGCGCCAAGAGGAAGCACCTACCACCCGGGTCGCTGCCTCCGGGACACCAGCCCCTCCCTGCTCCTCGGACCCTCTGGGGGACCCATTCTCAAAGAGAAACATGAAGGAGTCAGCAGCTCCCTTGAGGCCCCCGACCCCAGTGACACCCCAAAATACCATACTCAGAATTTGAGTCTCCTTTATTTTTTCCCAGGGGCAGCAGGGTGGGGGAGGCGGGTATTCTGGTCCTAGTCACAGATCTCTGTTCCGCTGACCCCATAGGTGGCACCGTCCCTATTCCCTATCCCTAGTGGAACTGAGCAACACCTCCCAGAAGTCCACTTTCCGTCTCTACCAGAGTCATGGAGCAGGGAGAGGCTTCTAGCAGAAATAAGGCTGGGGGTTACTCCTGAATCCCGCCAGCCCCCCAAAACTCTTCCTCCCGCCCCGAGAGGGGGTCCCACCGTGGCCTGTCCAGGCCGCGGACGAGCCTTTCTCATGCACCCGATTTGTGGCCCCAGAGGAAGCCCGGAAGCTGTGGGGAAGCGACAACATCTGCCCGATCACCTGAGGGGGCCCGCGCTCGTCCCTAATTCCGCCCCCTCGGAAGCAGCAAGACCAGAATCCGGTCTCCGCGCCAGGATCCCAGGACGGGGAGGAAGCCGATGCCCAGGGAGAGGAGACCGAGGGAGGGCGCCGACCCTCACCTGGACAGCGCCGACCAGTCCTTCCTGCCGACGGACATCGCTGCAGCCGCGGGCTCCGCGTGCGCCCTGCTCCGCCGCCGCCTCACCTGCGGCCCCTCCCCCGCCCAGGTGGTGTCACATGGCCGCTTATCTCACCCGGCCCCGCCGCCGCGCTCCGATTTGCCGACCCGGAGCGGCCTCTGGGGTGTGGGCGTCCCAGACAAAGCCGCATTGATCTCCGACCCGGCCGGTCCGGCCCCGGTCGCGATCGCTCCGTGGACGTCGCACGGGCCGTGGGCAGCACGGACGGACGCCCGGGCAGGCGCGGAGCCGGTCGCGGCCCGGGGCGAGGGCGGGAGGCTTCCTGCCCAGACCAGTCCGACCAGCTCGGCGCAGGGCCGCCTCGCCGCGCAGTGTCGCCGCCCCGAGTTCCAGGGAGTGGGGTGGAGGGCGGGACTCGACATGGGGTCAGGCTGAGCTCCCTGCCTGGAAATCTACTTAGCGGGAGAAACCCAAGAGCAGGAAGCCGAGCGGAAAAGTTGCAGCTGTACCGCGATCTGGGGTCTAGAACGTGAGCAGGGCCTCGGCCTGCATGCGAATCCCACCCCATTGAAAGCCAGCCCTTCCCGAAAGGAGACCGAGCCTCAGATCTACAACTACTGGCCTGCCCACAGCCCACTGAACCCCAAATGTGCCAAAGGCGCCGTCCTTGCCTTTTGATGCAGGGCAGAGGCTGGGTTTTGCTTCCCCAGAAGAGTGGGTGTAGATAACTGGGACCAGAGGTCTGGAGCACACGAACCAGGCCAAGTACCGCCGGGCTCCCTGTGAGAGCCCGTATGAGCTGGTGCAGTACCAGCTGCCTTCCATCCAGGAACCTGTGGGGAAGGAGGGTCAGGCACCAGGTGCACTCAGAGTCTTTATCTCCCTCTTTGACCCTGATGGGTCAAAAGTGCAGGGCCAGGAGCTGCTGCAGTAGTTCCTGCGGGAGAGGGATGACCCCTAGCACCCAGCAGAGAGGATTCTCCTAGGCCTTGCAGCCCAGCTCTGCCTCTCTTGGTGCTAATCCAGAGCCCCACCTGGAAACAGACACAGCTAGCCTGCTAGCAGGTGGCTCCCTCTCAAAGCAGCCCTCTTTCCAGAGCCTGCCTTCTTAGCATAGGGAGTGGGTGCTCAACTGGGAGTCTGGAGAGTGGGTTTTGAGCTCTATTCTGCCACTCCTGAGTTCTGTGTTTGGGGAATGTGGCCTCAGTTTCTCCATCTGTGAAGAGGAAATAATGACCCCTTGTCCTGCCTCCTTCCAGGTTGTGAGAACCAAATGAGTTCCCTGCTAGTGAAGCTGAACTGCGTGGTATGAAGGTTGACATGGCCCAAAGGGTGGGCAATAGCCTATCCCCAGATGTGGTTCATCAGTGGTGGCCTCTCAACAGGAAGAAAAGAGCTCCTAGTCATGGGAAGCCTGGCTGTGCCAGGAACACTTCGTGAAGTCAGGTATCTAAAAGCCACAAATCCTTCGGGCATGGTAGTGCACACCTATAGTCACAGCACTCTGGAAAGCTGAGGCAGGAGAATCTCCAGTTTGAGCCCAACCCCGACAATTTATCAAAAAAGTGAGACTCTGTTTCAAATATTTAAAGCCAGGTGCTGAGGATATAGCTCAGTACAGAGGCTCTGGGCTCGATCCCCAGTGCCACAAAAAAATAAATAAAAATGAAAGGGCTGGGAGTGTAGCTGTGGATAGAGCACTTACCTAGCCTGCCCAAGGCCCCAGGTTCAATCGCCAATACCAAAAAGCATAGAAGTAAAAAAATAAACCGCAAACAGGGACTATTCTAAAAATAAGGATCCAAAAAGTCCTTTAAGGGCAAGTGTGGTGTGTATACAGGACGTCTTATGTGTCAGACTGTGCTTGGTGCTAGGTCAGCGCGTGTGTTTCCTGGGGTGACTGTGACAAAGACCCACCAACTGGTGGCTTTAAACAATAACAGTTAATTCTCTCCAGAGCTAGAAGTGTGGGGTCATAGTAGCCACAGAGTAATGCTCCTGTGGAAGGCTCAGGCAGAGAATCCTTTGCGTCTTCCTGGTTTCTGGTGGTTGCTGGCAATTCCTGAAGGTTTTCAGTTTTCGTATCATCCATTCATGGCACTCTCTGTGTCTCTGTCCACGTTTCCCTCTTCTTATGAGAACAGTAGATCAGAGCCCACCCTAATTCAGGATGATGTCATTTTAACTAATTACACCTGCAAATACCCTATTCAAACAAAGGCACAGTTATAGGTTATGAATTAACCACAACTTTTTAATACTACTCACTGCAATCAGCATGTGGCTTTGACAGTCAATGACACAAAGATGGTAAGGGTTCAAATCCTAGGCTAACAATGAAGACACACATGCTGGCGCGCGCACACACACACACACACACACACACACACACACACTTTGGAGCTATTTTGTAATAGTCCACAGACGACATAAAGACAGCTTAAGCAAGGGCAGCAGGAGGAAGAGTAGCAAGTGTTGGGAAGAGCTTTGGGAGGCCGAATTGTTGGGATTGAGTTGACTGAATACTGCTGGTGACCCGAACACCCCAGTTCAGGGCCTGCGTGAACATAGATGCCACTGATGACAGGGATTTGGGAGCAGGAGACGCAGGGAGGAAGATAACCATAGACCACTGAGACTTTCACAATCTCAGTATTACTGACATGTTGCCTTGATAATTCTTGGTTGTGGGGGAGCTGTGTGAGTTGGAAGATGGTCAACAGCATCCTGGTTTCTAGCCTTTTGAATTTAAGGTCCCTGAAGACAGGCAGGAAGTGCTGTTTAACTGACGGCAGGATGTCAGCGTTGGAGCTCAGCAGGGCGTTTTGCAATGTGTTTCCCACAGCATGAAGGTGAGTGATGAGTAGGCAGGAGAAAGGAGAGATTTTGTGTGGGGAGAGAGGTCAGCATCTATGCCCATGTCCCTCAAGCATCTTGGGGGGTTTGGGGAGGCAAAAGTATGTCTTATGCACCACAGTGTCCCTTCAACACTATCCGTGGCATAACTGCTGCTGAATAAAGTTTTGGGGAACTGAACTAATTCTTCCCACTCATTGATTTGGGAAGAACAGGAAAACCCAGGTAGCCCCAGACCCCGCACTGTGGATAACTTTAACAGCCTGGGTCACAGAGAAACTGAAGTCAAGGTCCTTCTAGGCATCCGGGCACTTGGCCTTTAGGGTCTGGCAAAGCCAGGATGTGGAGCCTCAAACTTCTCAGAGTGTAAGTGGTATAGCCTAGCAAAAATAAAGGAAGATGTTATTCTTATCCACCAACAGTTGCAATCCTGGGTGGAGAAACTTGGACCCGAGCCTCGGAAGAGAGGCTCACAGATGTGCAAAGCAGTAACCTTGGTAACAACAGAAACACTAAACCACCCAAATGTCCATCACCAGGAAAGCGAATGAATGAGTAATGATGATTTCATCATTTCATGGCAGTAAAAGTGAATGAACTTCCATTGTCAAAAGGGATGAATTTACAACCTGAAGTTTGAAGAGGAAAAAGGTTTACAAAATGATGCAAAACTAAACAATGTGCTAATTAGAGATTCACAAACATGTACAAAGTTTCCAAAGAGAACTAAAGAATCATACAGTAGTTCCCCGGTATCCTTGAAGGATACATGCTAAGCCCCCTGGGGATACCTGAAACCACAGACAGTACCAAGCCCTATGTATACTATTTTTTCTATATATATACTTACGATAGAATTTAATTCATAAAACAGGCACAGTGAGAGATTAACAGCAGTAACTAATAATAAGGGGGTTTGCAAGTCCCTGAGTTCAATCCTAAGCATGGGACAGGGAAGGAAGAAGGAGGAGGAAGGGGAGGAACAGGAAGGGAAGGCAAGGCAAGAAATAATAAAACAGAACGAGCCAGGCATGGTGGTACACACATGTAATCCCAGCACTCTGGGGGGTTAAGGCAGGAGAATTGCAAATTCAAACCCAACCTGGACAATTTAGCAACTTATTAAGGCTCTGTCTCAAAAATAAAAAAGGACTGAAGACATACCTCAGTGTGAAGGACCTGGGTTCAATCTCCAGTACCGCATAATAAAATAAAACAATTACAACCACATATTGCGATAAAAGTTCCAGCATCACTACTTGAGAGCTGTGGGCCCATTAGTAAGTGACATCAGGGTTACCTGAACTCAAGCACTGAACTACCACACGATTGATCTGATAACAGGGATGGCTGCTAGGTGACTAGGAAGCCACGCGGTGTGGATTTGTTGGAGAAAGGGATGATTCATGTCTAGGGCAGGATGGCACAAGACTTCATCGAACCACTTGGGATAGGATGCAATTTAAAGTTTGTGCACCGTTTATTTCTGGGATTTTCCATCTAATATTCTTGGACCAGTGCTGACCTCAGGGAAGAGAAATCATGGATACAGGGGCGCTCTTGTAAACACAGAATTCGAGGGTGGTGGTTACCTTTGTGGCAAGGAAGGCAGTATGATTGGGAAGGGGCCCACAGGGCTTCAAAAGTATTTGCAATATCCTAGTTCTTTAAAAGAACTGGTAGAGGGGTGTTCACTTTATAATTCCTTAAACAGAGGTACACACGTTTAAAATGTCTGCAGGAAGATAGGCATGATGGTGCTCATCTGTAATCCCAGCATTCTGTAAGGCTGAGGCAGGAGGACTGCAAGTTCTTAGAGACTTAGCAAGATCTTATCTCAAAATTTAAATAAATAAATAAATAAGACTGGAGACAGAGCTCAGTGCTGAAGCCCTGGGTTTAATCCCCAGTACCAAATGAATAAAAATTTTTAAAAAGTAAAATGCACTGGTCACTTCCTCCAGGGACAGTCCACCAAGGGAGGTCATCACAACTGGGAATTCCCTGATTAAGGGCAGAGATTTTTCACCAGTTCCCAGCCAGAGGTGGGAGAGGCATCGCCTCTCCTCTCCCCTCCCTAGAGGCCCCAGAATGGACTTTCAGGCTCTGGAATCCCCCAAGACTCACAAACATCTTCTTTTCCAGAAAGACCAGAGTGGAAATCTAGGGGATCCCCACCCCTGACCCGCTGTTGTGGGTGTCACACCTTGACATTTCAGTTCTGTTCCCCTTCTTTCTCCACCAAGCAACTGCCATGCTTGTGGTGCTGTTGGAGGAAGAGGAGAAAAGAAAATGAATGAGGCCACAAGACCCACACTCTAAAGAATCCAGGGCAGCAGAATCCAGGGGGCGTTGGGTTCTTAGAAACTAACGTTTTAAAAATATGAATATTGAAATGGTGTTATCAGCACTTATTTTGTGAGTTAAGAACTTTAGGAAATGGCCGGTGTGGTTCGCATGCCTGTAATCCCAACACTCAGGAGGCTGAGGCGGGAGGATTGCCACAAGTTCTAGGCCAGCCTGGGCTACATAGTTTGAGTTCAAGATCAGCCTGATCTACATAGCAAGACCCTGTCTCAAAATTTAAAAAAAGTTAGAATGTGATTATTGTCACCACTGTCCTTCCACCTGGATAAAGTAAAAGTTGTTTTAATACTGAAATAATAAAATGGAGGCATGTGTGCTTTCCTAGTAAAGGAGAGCCTTAGCCAGGTGTGGTGGTGCTTGCCTGTAATTCCAGAACTCTGGGAAGCTGAGGCAGGAGAATCAAAATGTTAGAGACTGAGGCAGACCTGTCTCAAAAGGTATAAAGGCCCCAGGTTCAATCCCAGTACCACAATCCATCCATCAATCAGAGCCTTTCACATTACAAATATTCAGTTTAATGAAAGCCACAGCACTCGTGGGCCTGGCTTTCTCTCCATGGGACAGAGCAGTTCAAACTTGGGCCACACAGAGCCATTGGATGTCCATCCCACTGCTGGCCAGTGGCCGGCTCCCTGCACCTGTGCCCCTGCACTGAGCAGCCAGAACTCCACATGCTCCTCCCCCGGGGGCACCCAGGGGAGAAGGCCTGGACCCCCCAGCCTGTGCCCACCAGTGAGGGAGGCCCATTACTGTCACTGGAGCCAGATGGATGCTGAGTGGGGACCAGAGAGGGGCAGGATGCTCAGGCCCCAGCACCAGCCTTTGGGTGGGGTTTTCTGTAGACTAGGAGTCCGGGAGCTCTATCCTAGCCCCAGTTAGGTCAGTAACATTGATCGAGTCACCTTCCCTCTGGGGGCTCCAGGTGGGCCTCCAGTGCTCTAAGCCAGTGCCCACCTCACTCAGCCTGGGCCCAGGGGCCCTGTAGGCCAGCTCAGGGGTATGTCCTGGTGTACAGAGCCTCTGCTGTCATGCAGGACTCGCAGGCAGGGTAGCATCATGGAGTTTTGAGGAATGAGAGAGCCCCGATGGTGTCAGGGGAGGAAACTACAGTCTGCATCTGTCCCAGCGAACTGTCCCAGGCCTCAGCAGCTTGATCACCCACCTGGAACAAAACTGCCCCCCTGGTTGCCCAGCCCTGAGCCCCATGGGGAATGTGACTCACTTCGCAGGGGGCCATTGTGGCTAATGTTTAACTCAGTCCCTCCTCCTGCAGGGCACTTTAGCCCCGGCCGCCCTGAGTACAGGCCCTGCTTGGAGCACCCCTGCTGCCAACTGGGTTTAAGAAACACAGCTGGTCCCAAGGGGAGATGGTGGCCAGCTGGCCTCCTGAGGGCTGTAGGACAGGCAGGGTGGGAACAGGTGGCTCCTGCCCCAGTCATTCCTACCAAGGAGGGAGGAGCACCAGGCTCATCTCCAGCTCCAGAGGAAGGTGCCCATCCAGATGTGTGCTGGTTCACGACAGGCAACCCTCTGGAAGCCCCCTGTGCATCTCCCTACGTGGCACCCAACCTCGCCTCTGCCCATCAGGGTGTCACTGGCACCTCACTTGAATGTTTCCCCTTTGGTGGAGATGCAGGAACTCCCCGGGAGGCTGTGCAGGGCCCCTGGCCCCAGCCATGTCTCTCTCAGACAGTGACTTGTTGGGCATTATCACAACAAAGCTGATCCCAGGAAAGGACAATCCCCTGGGTAGCGAACCTGGGTTCTCATCTGCAGTCTGCAGCTGTCAGACTCTGAACCTTAGAATGAGCTTCATAAACCTTCCCAGGCTCCACTTCCTCCCCTGGAAATGTGAGATCATTGTATCTACTTCCTGGGTTTTGTGAGAACACAATGGCAAAGCTCTGAAAAAGCGCTTAGTGTATTCTTCTTTGTAATTATTGAAATATGCATAGTATCGTGGAAGTAGTGAATGACAGAGTGAACTCTGAGTTAAATCCCAGCCCCGCCACTTGCTGTGTGGCTGTGGGAAGTCCTGAGCCTCAGTGTCCCCTGAACAACGCGGGGACGACAGGCGTGCTTTCTGGCAGGCCGTTGTGAAGGTTAAATTGGTGTAGCACGGAGCGGTGCCTGGCACAGAGCAACGTGCTGTGCGTGTGAACTCATCACTGGGTCTCCTGTGGCCAGGCAGGGTTGGGTAGCACTCTGTGGGGAGAGGGCCAGCAGCAGAGTCATGTTCGTGGCGTCAACTCTAGCGCCCCCCCCAGGCCCCCTCCGCCCCAGGCAGGCCCTGGCAGAGCATTCTTCTGCTCGCCCACTGAGGCTCTGTCTTCCTTCGTAGGAACCATTGGCACCAGGCTTGCTCTCCATCTGATCTCCAGGAGATGGATTAGGTCTGATCCCGACTGGAAGCAGGAAGAGCCTGATGACCTCCAGGGGCCCTCTGCATGGGCCTCTGCCCTCTCCCAAAAGGGCACGGGTGTGCTGGGAGCCCCACTTCCTCCTCCCAGGAGCCTTCTGCACTCCTGTGTTTGCTTTGAGTCAGGCCCAGGGCTGGTGCCTGCCTCTGTAGGGCAGGGTGGAGACCCCAGTCTACAGAGGCCCTGGGTTAATAGACGACTGGCAAACTGAGATTTGGGTCAGGAACTTGGGGCCAGGCTCCACCAAAGGGCTGGAAGAGGCAAAGCACAGTGACAGGCTTTGGAGTTGGGCCAGCTGGGAGGAGCCCCGAGAGGCAGGGAAGGGTGGGTTTCTGTGGCTGTCCAGGCACGACGCCTCGCCCCATGCTCCCTCCCACAGACCAGCCTGGTCAGGTTCCCCAGCTGCATACGTGACTGGGTGTGTCACATCTGCCTCTGCCCCTCACTGCTCCTAGTAAGGGCCCTGTTCAAAGTGCTGTCTCCCCTCATGTGCCCCACTCTGCTGGCCCCCACCGCCACAATCCCGGGAGGGGGCTGGCAGCTCGGCAGGCCCGGGTGCCAGACTGAACCCCAGGGGGTAGCTGGCGCTGCACTTTGCACCAGCCTCTGGCATTTACGACAGATACTACACTGGGATCAGAGGGTAGAGCTGGGCATCAGCAAGAGTGGGCCAAAGGACAGGGAGGCTGCCACTCATACAGCTCAGCCTCTCCTGGGACCAGTGCTGGGGCAGTGAAAAAGCCAAAAGGGCCGAGGCCTGGGACCGGCCACCTCCACAGGGCACCAGCCTGAAAGGTCCAGCTCCACTCTGGTCCACAACTTTGGTCCCTGCTCCTTAATAGTCTCTTTCCTCCTCCGCGTGTAGGGAAGAAGGGGCCGCCCCAGCCCTCCATTCCACTCCAGCAGGCCTGCACCTGGCTTTGGATTCGGTATTAGTGAGGTGAGGAAAGGACCTGACCCAGGGGACAGACCACTGGCTGCTTCACCTCAGAGCTGACCTGGGAGTGCAAGACTGAGGAAAAATAATGGTGGAGAGAGTGGATGAAGGTGGAGAGAGCAAGAGCCTGAGGACCAGAGAGCCACCTGGTGGCCAGGATTGAAACTGCACCAGATGATCCGGGGGTGGAGACAGGAGCTTGAAATCAGGCATGACAAACGACTCCAAGGAGAGGCCCTCTTGACAGCTGGACCACGTCTGGGCTTTCGTGAGCATCCTGGGTGTGATGATGTCACCAGGACTGAGTGGAAGGGGCCCGCCCCATGGGGACCATAGTGGGGACTTTAGCAGGCCGCCACCAAATCCTTAGCCCTCCATCCAGATCCTGAGTTCCTGAATGTGCACAGTGCCTGGTCTGACACAGCCTTTTCCACTCAAACCCTGAGTTTCTTTTCTTCTGAGCACTCACCGTCAAAGCTACAGAAATCACCCGGAAACTGGGTTTTTAATGGAGAGCACGCGATATTACACGTTAGAGCAGCAGTGGGGCACTCCCCCTGCCTCTTCCTCGGCTCACTGCATCTCACAGTGGCCAAGAAGCCCTGGGTGCCTGTGGGATCCAGGAGCCTGCTCTGCTGGGTGAGGTCCTCAGATGTGCGTTTCTCCTCTCTCTTGAGTGTCTGATTCATCCAGGTTCCAGAGGAGGCCATGCAGGCTGAAGGGAAGAGGGCTCAGGGATATGCTCTGGCCATGGGGCAGAGAGAGAGGTGAGCAGGGTAGAGGAAGGAGCCTGAAGCAGGAACCCCATAGCAAGCCCTCCTATAGGGACAAAGAGGCAGAAGCCATCAGTTCCAGGTGGCACGTGCTGTTTAGAAAGCCCTGATTTACCCACAGCACCTGCAGCTCCTGGGGCTTCTCCTCCCTCCCACACCCTGGGCTGAATCACCATCCACAGGGGCTCCTCCTCAGCTCCCCACCCTGGGACCAGTTCCCTGCCCTATGCACACCCTCCTTGGCTCTCGATTGGCCTTGCCATTGCCCTCCATGACTGTTTTGTTCCCATCTCTGTGTGTTTGTGGCACCCTCAGCCCCCCCAACAAACGTTCACCAGCCACTTGCTCAGAGAGCTTCTCTGTCCAGAACACCTGCTCTGCTGCAGGCTGTCTGCAGACCCTGCCCCACTGCAAAGCCTCCCAGCTCCCCACAGGGGGTTTCAGGTGGCCTAATTCTACTGCCATTTCTAGTTTCTCCAGATGTTTCCTCAGAGGATGGGAGGCTGAATCTTCTCTGAATAGCACCTCCCCAGGAGCAGTGATTGTGAATGCTGTGTGTTTTGCAGGGTGCACAAGTAAAGGCCATTATCGGGAGGCATTCAGGAGAGATGAGACCTCAGGGACAACCTAATCCAGTGTTCTCACTCTTGTGTGCCTCAGTTCCTCTTGAGGGCAAGCCTGTCCCCATGGTTTCCAGTTCTGGGATTCTGGGATGCAGCCGCATCATGCACACACCAGGTGAAGCAGTTACCACTGGTCCCAGACCACACATGAGAACCACTGATCAGATACGGCCCCAACTTTACAGAGGGAACAGAAAGGCCCAAGCAGGAATGAGATGCCCAAGGTCTCATGGTGCAGGAGCAGGCCTAAGCCCAGAGAGCACCCCCAGGCTTCATCCTGGAGTCACTTGTTACCCTTCAGACCCCAAGGGCCCCAGAAAAGAAGGGAGCCCACCTATAGGTACCTCTACTGTGAGGTCGGAGACTTGGCAGCATCAAACATCTTCTTCCGGCCCTCCATGCCAGACATGGCCTCCACGTTCTTCCTCCAGTCTCCCACCTCCACGGGCCGCTCCTGAGGGTGGGCCAGACACATCAGAGACTCACTGGGCTGCAGGGGCAGCCAGGACCCCTCAAGCTTAAGGGAAACTGGGCCATAGGAATGCTGCCTCCTCAAAACCATAGGAAACCCCAGCAACCCTGCCCAGCAGTGAGATGTGAGGACTCAGCCAGACAGGAGCCATGGGTGCAGCTGAGGGCCCACTGGAAGGAGGATTTCTGGTGACGTGGTGGGTGTCGGGCCAGTGCCCACCCTGATGCACCTCCAGGCCCCATACCACCCTCCTCTCTGATGCCCAGCACCTCCTCCAAGAAGCCTTCTCTGCTGTACTTGCTCATATCCCATTTCCTCTGCCTATTCTCAGCCCCATTTCTTCTCTTTATGAAGCTTTCTGGGCCAGAGACTGTGTTTCTATTACCCTTGTTCCTTCCAGGGCACATGACATCTTACAGGTTCCAATTCTGGGCACATAATACTGTGAGATCAGCCAAGTTGGAGAGACTTGTGGCTGAGCAAGTGACTGAACTCAGTTCTCTGATTTCTGTGCTCATGTGTCCCTGTACCATGAGGAACAGTCTCCTCATTTCCCTGCGGTGACAAGAGCTATGGTCTCATCCATCACCCACGTTCTCTATACGCTGGGAGCAGTTTTTACTCTATTCACCCCCTAGCCTTTTCTGTGTGGAAGCAGACTGAGGGAGGAAGCAAGTCTTTCTCTGAGCCTGGTCTCCTCGGGGGTTCTAGGATGTTCTGACTGACAGGCTCCCGGGCCTGCCTGAGGCTGCATGAGGGGTGACAGGCCAAGGCTGGTGGGGAGGGGCCCTCACCTTCTCCGTGTCCTCCTTCTTCACAGATTTGAGGTTGGCCCGCAGGTCCATGGACACCTTATGCTTGGAGCCCAGCAGGGCTCGGAGCATGGCATCGGCTGAGACACGGACCCGGCGCAGGGGTGGGCGCTTGAACTTCCCACGAAGGTCCAACACCTTCAGCTTCAGGTCCTTGATCTGCAGGCCAGAAGGAGCCATGGTCACACAAGGGGCAGCTGGCACAGGCTCCCTGCCAGAAGACCTCGGACCATGGTGTTCTGGCCAGAGCTGTACCCCAAGTTCTCCAGCCTGGAAGCCAGACCCTCTGCGACACTTGGAACCATCTGTCCCTTTGCAAATATCTACCCCACTTGCATTGATGGATGAAGGAACACAGACAGAGTCCATGATCTAACCCCACCCCTGTGGCCCACCATGCCAGCACCCCTGTTTGAGCCCTGTCAGGAGTGTGGGCTGCTTCCTCTGGTTCCCAGAGCCCCCATCCTGCCCCTTGATGCTCCCTGCCTGCCCATGAGCCAGGCTCACAGCCCTGGCCCAGCAGGGAGAACGCTCCCAGGTCCCAGACCTCTGGAGGGATTCCCACATATGGTCACTGGAAGCTTGGTGACCCCATAGAGCCTCATCCTGCTGGGGGGCACAGAGGGGAAGGAGGGCAGTGACCTGTGCTCCCCCCATATACCCATCTCTGCTTGGCAAACCCTCCACAGCAGCCCGCTGCAGCAGCCGGAGCCTGCCCTTCCCAGTCTTCCCTGCCCACTGGAGCAGGAATCAGAGTGAGCACAGGTGCGAGGATCCCCACAGTGTGACCTGGGCTGAGCTCTTCACCTCTCTGAGCCTTAGCATCCTCATCTGCAAGATGCAGATAATCACCCCCTTTACCCCCAGGCATGCAGGGAGGATCAAAGGATGTAAAGGTTGCACAGGAAAGCTCTTCACAAAGGTAAGATGTCATTAAGAGGCAACTGATTACTTGCGAGGGTGAATAAAGAAAGCAGCTCCTGAAGAGGCCATGGGGCAGGTGGGGAGGAAGTCTGTCTTTCTTGTACCATTATGCTTCCCCCCATCTCCAGCCCTGAGGGGCTGGTGTGGAGAAACCAAACTTCCTGCTGTGTGACCCCTCCCAGTTCCCCAGAAGGTGGGACAGCATCCGTGCCCACCCTGCCTCACCCAGACATCACCCATTCTCCCACCCGGCGTCACCCCGCTGTGCCTCTTGCCCTGCGGCTCACCTCCCTGGTGTTGTGGAGGCATTTGGCTTCGATGTCATACCGCTCCTCATCCACCACCTCCACCTTGGCGTGCAGCTCCCGGCACAGGTCCTGGGGGACGCAGATGGGCGGGAGGGAGTGGAGAAGAGGTTACCAGCCACAGGCTCCGGCCTCTCTTTTCTGCCTGCCCTGCACCTCTCCCTGGCCCCTCTTCGAGACCTAGGATCTGGAGGCTCCCTCAAGGCCAACAACTCAAAGCCTAAGCCCTTTGCTCTCCTTTCTGTACCGGCTTGTCTCCTTAAAAAGATACAGTTTTCATGTGACAAAAGTAATATAAGTTAAATGTAGGGATTTTGAACACTAAGTATTATTAGACAAAAAATAACAAAAGAAAAAGAACTACTGATTGCCATTACCTGGAAATAACCATTGATGACATATATGTCCTTCCACCGTTTTCTCCACAATTGCTGGCATTTAAACAATTACCACTGTTTTAAAAACATTAAAGACCTAGAGAGGGGAAGGAGAGCCAAGCCTCTGGAGGAACAGGGCTTCCTGAGATGGGCCACCTCCCTGCTCCACCCCACCCCACTGGCTCATGGACAGCCTGGTGGCTGGCGAGGTCCTTGCACCAGAAGGTCCCTTCTCTGCCCTGGGACTCACCTCCCCCACCTGTAAAGTGGGCTCTAACTTCTCCACCTCTCTGGCAGTTGGGGAGATACCATAAGGCCACACAGGGAAGGGCACCTTGTGAGTTACAGAGCTGCTGAGCCCTTGTCAGTTCCACCTCCTGCCCCCAGGGCCCCCATGTGGAGCCCCAGCCTGCCTGCCTGCCAGGCTCACCTGCAGGGCGCTGAGCGACAGGCCGCGGGTCTGCAGCGTGGGGATGCGCTCGGACAGGTAGCGCTGCTTCTCAGTCTCGCGCTCCTCGTGCTCCTGCTCCCAGCACTCCTTGGCCTTGGCCAGCATCAGGCTCTGGACAGGACCAACCATTGAGCTGGGGCCGCCCCTCATGTTTCCCACTAGCCTCAGAGACAGAGGGGACTTTGGCCCCGCTAGGTCAGATCTGAGTGTGGGTCCCCACGAAGTTATGCGGTGGCTGCCTGCTGGCCTTGTCTAAACACTGGGTAACTGCACATGACATCCCTTGGCCCTGGACTGCCTCCTCCACAGTCGGACTCTTACCCACTTTTTGTGAGTTTTGGCCCCCACCACTCCAAGAGAGAAGCACATTCCAAAATGAAGCACATCCCTCTGCCTCCGCTGCAGACTTCCACCCGAGGCTGGTCACCATCTCCTCACAGGACCCAGGAGGGCAGGTGCCAGGCCCCCAGCCACTTTCCCGGTTCCACAGCCCTGCCACACATCTGCCCCACTGGCACCCCCTGGCCCACACCCCGCCTCACCTTCAGCATGAGTTTCCGAGAAGCAGTGATCTTGGATTTCCTCTGAGAATGAGAAGGGAGAGAGAAAGGTGGTGAGGCAGGGGCCGTGAAACTGGAATTCGGGGCCAAGTCAAGAGAGTCCCAGCCCGGTTCACTATCACTACCCAGAATCCTCTGCTCACTTTAGCTTCCCTTTCAAGCTCATCTGTGTATCTAACCCCTCAATTTCAGAGGCCACTGCAGTCAGAGACCTTGATGCGGGGGTTGAGGTCCTGCCTTGCCATCCTGGTTCTGCTGTAGGCAGAATTCTGTAAGAGCACGTGGCACCTCTTTGTCTATAAACACAGACAGCAAGGTCCACCTTACTTGGTTCACAGAGCTGCTACAGACAAAATGAGAGTGCACATGTGCAAATACTTTGAAAAGCCTAAAAGAGACACATGTTTTAGCACTCTGGGCAGTAAGTAACACCAATATCTCACTGCTCTACCAGGCCAGAAGCATAAACTGTGAATCACCTAAATAATTGAAAAGATATCTATACAGACATCAAAATGTTTTAATGTTAGTACTGTTTATAGAAAACTTTCTAAGATATAAAAACATTGTTTTCTTATCAAAAGACTAGATATAGTCTTGCCAATTTAATATGTAATAATACTTCTCAATAAGTCCCAACCCCATGCTGGGCATGGTGGGGCACACCGATGATCCCAGCTATCCAGGTGGCTGAGGATGGAGGATGTCAAGTTTGAGGCCAGCCTGGGTAACTTAGCCAGACCCTTCTCAAAATGAAAAATAAAAAGGCCTGGGATTAGAGCTCAGTGGTAGCATGCCCCTGGGTTCAAACCCCAGCTCCACACCAAAAAAAGAATGAAGGGGGGGGGAAGGAAGGAAGGAAGGAAGGAGAAAGAAAAGGAGAAAAAGAAAAAGTTTCAGCCCTGTGGCAGTGGTCTGTCAGGGGTGGTGACAGTAAGAGGGCTGCTTCCTCCCCACCCCAACTAATGAGACCCTGTGGGCTTAGAGTACTTGTGTCTCTCTCTTCGGGGCCATAGGCTGTCTTCCTGATGCTCTCAGAGGATCTCTACCTGCTTCTAAGGTGCTGGCTGGTAGGGAGGGCATAGCTCTAATTCATAACTGTGGTGTGCAGAATAGAAATGATCAGGCTTCAGGTGCGCAGTTCTGGGAGAAAATTGATGAGCTTCAGCCCATAGAACGTGCAACTTCTGATCTGACTGTTCAGAGTGCTTCTTTTCCTCTCCCACAGCGTACATAATTGCTAAACCTCTGATATGCATGCCCTTGAGAGCAGTGGCCTGGAGCCATAACTAGCGCCTGCCCATGGTTCAGCCACTGTGATGTAACCATGGCAAGAATTCTATTCTGTCCCCACCACATGGTGGGCACATGCCCATGCCATTTGACCATCAGTCAGTGGAGACCCTCAGAAACTTAGAGATGCACATGACCACTGAAAAAGTGCATATTTGATTCTCACTATGGGCTGCATGCCCTTGCCATCACAAAGTCTACAGCCTTCCCTGCAGGTGCCACCCCTGAACACACACAGGCTGTCCTCAGCAGCCTGAATAAAGCTGGATTGTGGGCAACATCTAGAGTCAAGGTCACCAAAGACCTGAGAGCCTGCAAGGGTACACCTTTGCTCCTTCCTCCGCGTTCCACCACTGGGCCAGGGTGGAATAACTTTTACCGTCAAATGTGTTTTGCACAAGATTGGCTCTGCAGGGGACAGAATGGACCTCCCCCCACCCCCGGGAAGAGGAGCTTCCGGAGTGAGAGAGGGGGAATTTGTGCTCAGGGAGGATGTAAAGTCACACTCAGATCTGATGCACACAGTCCCAGCCCCAGGACACCACTAGTGACATTAGACACTGAGGCAGCAACTCCCTGGATCCTAGGAAGCCCCACACCCAGAACTTGCTCAAGGTGTCTGTTCTCTTGGAAATTTTTCTCAGCCACTGGACAACGCCACCAGCACCTCAACCTTGACCCACACTCTCTCCTGTCCTCATATCCCACCCCACCTTCACCAGTCTCAACAGTTAATCATCACACAGAGGCCCAAAATATCACTCACCTCGCTTCAGGCATCCAGCACAGGAAAGATGGAGGAGAGAGCAGAACACAGAGTATGAACAAAGTACATCAGATATGCAGCAGCAGAGCCAGGGGGACCAGCATGGGGAATAAGGTGACAGGGGACAAGAGTGTGCCCAAAAGAAACCAGGCATCAGGCAGGGGGTCTAGGGTGAGGGTTCCAGCAGATAGATAAAAACCCAACAGCCTTGGTCACTGGAAGTTGGAGAGGGTTTGTGGGAAGTCAGGGAAGCCTTAACAGAGGGCTGCAGTAATATGGATGCTTCCCTGCCTAGACTTCGGGTAAATTCCCAAAGCTTTGCTCATCTGCTGGGCCAGTGTGAAGTCGTGGCCTGGCATATTCAATTCATTAGGTCAGTGCAGACAGGCAAACTCTGAAGCACAGGCCACAAACTTCTTCCTGCATCCAGCTCAAAGGTCTGGAGGACACCTGGCTACCCTGGGGGACTGTTCAGTGCTGACCCAGACACTCAGGACTGCCCTTGTTTTAGGATCTGGTCTCTGGGAACAATTCGAGTGGTTGAGCAAATGGTCCTCAACTTTGGGGCTCACATCTGCAGCAAAAGGCCTTGCCCCAGGAACCCCCGATCAGGGTAAGGAGACTTACACTTCCGGCATGATGGAGGCAGAGCAGCACCTGGGGGGACACAGGGGAATCATTAATGGGAGAGACTCCTCACTCCCACTCCCACTCACCAACCCGGCCAGGCCTTGGTAGTCCGACAGCCCAGCTAGGAGAGTCAGACAGCAGGAGGAAGGCAGCCAAGGACAGTATGGGTGGATATAGGGCTACTTTTTCAATGGCGTATAGGTTGCTGAAGAGCAGTGTGTACCTGTAAAGAGACTCAGATATCTCATTGTCCAATTGGTTTTTAAGAATTCTATACTTCCAGTACACAGTGAATGCATCCTGAGGTTTTTAGGGAAGAGAGGAGCAGAGAAATGAAGAATTGGGGAAGAGCCATTTGGAAGATTAGCATCAATTATATTCCTTATTCTTGTTTTGTGTTTGCACTAGAAATACAACAAAATAAATCTTGAATCTTTTGTCTGATTCTTAAAGTACTTCACTGTCAATTTTTATTATAATTTGTAATATTCCTCAACATTCTGTACTGTGAATCTATAAAAGAATGGTTGCATGTATGAGAAACCTATTTTTTAATACTGGTAAAATAGGTATACATTGAAAGAATATTTTTTAAAGAGTGCAGTAGCATACACCTGAAATCTGACTGGCTTGGGAGGCTAAGAAAAGAGAATCAATCACAAGTTCAAGGCTGGCCTCCCCACTTCATGAGACCCTGTCTCAAAATAAGCATTTTTTTTTAAAGGGCTGGGGATGTAGCTCAGGGCAAAGGCCTTGTACCAACCCTAAGTACTGTGAAAGAATTAATTAATTAATTAAAGAATTTTTTTAAATCAGCAAGGCAAGGATCAGCAAACTAGTCTCCAGGCCAAATCATCCCAAGTCTGATTCTGCTTTAAAAAAACAAACAAGCAAGGAAGACTCCATGGACAAAAACCTTATGTGATCTGCGAAGCCTAGAATATTTGCACATGGCCCTGTCCAGGGAAAGCCTGCTGACCCCTGTGGAGAACAGAGCAGGACTCATGGCAAACACGGGCGGAAATCGAGGGTGGGGCTCGCTTATGAGAGTGAAGCCGAGGGCCAGGCTGAAGCTGGGCTGGACTCAAGGGGAGGTGGGAAGGTCAATGGAGCAGTGGGAGCTGCAGGCGGCGCCATGTGGCACAACACCAGGGGGCGACATTCAGTAGGTAAAGGGGGCCTGGTAGCCTTGGTAGGGGAGTAGGAGGCCCTGAAGGGAACAGGAGAAACTGGAGGCAGGGTGGACTCTGTGCTTGACTTCAGTCTTTCCTTACCCTCTCTAGGCTGGTTTTCCTCCCTGAAAAATGAAGGACTGGGTAAGCAGCTTATTGCTCTTAAACCCTTCATTCAAACCAGATCTTACTTGGAACCCAAACCAGTTCAGGCCAGAGGCCAGAATGGCACTGGCTGAAAGGCTGCCACAGGAGCCTTCTGTCCTCTGTGAGCACTCATGGCCGTGGAGCAGAGACCGAAGCCCCCTGAGCAGAGGAAGTGCCAGAGGCAGGCACACTCACCATCTTGCCTGGCCCAGGGGGGTGGAGGAAGGGACTGTGCCAGAGCTCAGGGGAAGCTGGGGTTGGGCACAGGTGTGCCAGGTAGGACAGAGAGCCTGAGCTAGGTCATGGAGTAAGGGTGGAAGAAGCCATATGTATTGATGATCGGGGAGCTCAGGGTCCTAAGTCAGGACCTGGTTCAATCAAGAACCTGGTTCAGATCAGGGGGGGAAGAATCCAAAGGACACTTGCAAAGTGCCTACCAGGGATTTCCTTCCAGAGCCCCTCTCCCTCTGCTCTGATTCTCTCCTTTCCCTTCCTGCCATGAAGCATCCTCCAAGCCCCAGTGACAGGGCTTTCTGCTTTTGGTCACCTCTTCTGAATCCCTCCCTGTCAGGCAGCCTTCTGGGCCCCACCTCCACCTCTGCCTGGGCCCCAGGGGAGAGTGAGGCTGGGGTGGAGGAGGTGGGGGAGTGTGACCCCAGAGTCCCAGCTGTCTCCCTGGGGCACAGCAGGAGAGGTGTGGAGACAATCTATAAATTCCAGAAATGCTTGGCTGAAATTAGATTTTATAGGCAGCTGCTTATTGTGAGGGCTCCACTCCACTGACAACACCAAGTCTGTCTGTTCCCTGAGAGTGCCAGTACCTAGGCAGGACCAGGGCTCAGCCGAGAAGGTCTATGTCTGTCTCCCCCAGAACGGGCCTTACTTTTGGTGGGTGTTTGGCCATGGTTACCCTCCCCTCTCCCTCGACGGCCACTGTGTTCAGCGTTGGGCCTCCCGCCAAGCTCCAGGGCCTGCCCCCAGCCTGCCCTGATGACAAATGCCAGGCCCAGGGGTCCCACATCAGGCATGAGGCCCGGCCTGGGCTCTGACATCCACCAGACAAGACCCCTTGACAGGCTGTGGGGAAGATAAGTAAGGACCTGATAAGAAGTCAGGATGTAGACAGCCATGAATGTAAGGCTTGGAGAGCAGGATTCTGTCTCCTCTGTGAGGGAAAAGCAAGGAGATAATCAGAAAGCCCATGATTGGAGGGAGGGAGAAGAATCCATGGTGCCTGGCTCAGGGCTGGGCTCTCCCTGCCCTAGACCCCTAGGTGGAAAGACCAGTCAACTAGAGATGAGATGAAGACTGCATTTGTGTGTGTAAATATTGGTGTGTGTGTGTGTGTGTGTGGGCGCGCGCGCGCGTGTGCACACAACAGAAAAGAGAGAGAGGACGCAAATATCTTGGCAGGCTCTTGCTATACCCCTGCTCCCTGTCCCCCACCCTTGGACCCTAGTTCAAGGATACCCTCATGCTCCTCGGCTGGCTGCTAACAAGGCTGGACCCCCAAGCTTGTGGCCAGCGGCTGTCACCACACCCTGCCCCCTGCCCCTTGTTCTCCAAATAGGAGACCCCTAACCTTGGAGGTGCTTTGGGACTGTGACCCTCAAACCAAGACTTTATTCTCTCCCCAAAGGCCATGGGACCACACTCCAGATGTTGCCCTAGGTTATGTGGTCATGGCCTCTTGTGTCCCCGCCCTCAATGCTGTCAACACATGCCACCCCAAGAGGACCCCCCAACAGTTCAGAGCTAAGGGTGGTAAAACAGGGTTTGCAGTTGGCCCTAGCCTGCTCGTGTCCTCCTGAACAGATGGGGTGGCAAAGGGAGCTAAGAGCATCCCTCAAAGACAGAGAACAAAGAAGCAAGATGGAGTCCTTGTACAGCAGGGTCTCTGGTCTGATCTTCTAAGTCCCCAAGAGCTCTGACTGCCAGAGCTCCTTCTGCCCTCTGCTGCAGACATTGCTCACCAGGCTCTTTCCAAAATTCAAACGCAGCTCACAGTCTCATCGCCACCCTCTTCCCCAGGTCCCCTGTTCCTTCTGCAGCCTGCTGGGCAGTGCCTCGTGAGAATGTGATCCACTAGGCCCTGCCCCGAGGCTCCTGCCCGGGAAAGCTTAGCCCCCTTCAGCTGCCTTGCAGGCGAGATGCCACTCCGAGGAACAGAAGGCTGGGAGTATCTGGGGAATGTTCAGCCAGCAAACCTACTGGTACACACAGGAACCGTCTTCTTCCAATTCCAAGACCTCTCACTTCCTCCTCAAACCAAACCCAGCTTCCCTACCTGGCCTTGAGCCACATCCGCAGTCCCAGGCTGCAGACGCTTACCTCGTTCAGTCCTGGGGAGCAGGCCTGGCCTGAGCTTCACTGCAGACTGCAGACTGAGGCGGGCAGAGCCAAGGCAGGCTATGAAAACTGTGCTTGACGGCAACTGGCCAGTAAAAATAGAACGGCCCGCTGCCCCTCCCCCCCACACACCTCGGGGCACTGTGATGCACATGACAGGCCCACGGGCTGGAAGACGAGTGTGTGTGCAAACACAGACCACGTACATGTGGAGAACACCCACTGAGCATAACCAGCACCCACCTGGGGGGAAAGAGAGAAGGAAGAATCAGACCAGATGTGGGGACTGGACAGAGATGGGGTGGGGAGGGAAATGAGGAAGAGCAGGGGACACTGGGAGGCCCAGGGAAACCAGCAGGGAACCCCTGAGCTGACCCCACCCCTCCTGCAAAGAAATGCAGTAGAGTCCCAGCCCACACTTCAGAAAGCCCCAGGGGGCCAAAGACTGGGGTTTGGAGGCCTGTTCTCAACTCTGGAGCACAGGGATAGGAAAACGCCTGGGGGCTCCAGGGCTCCAGGGCGTGTTTGTGGGCCAAGCTGGGCAGCCATGGTGACAGGGCCCCCTTGGGTTCACAGAAACCTAAGGGTCTGCACCCCCTCCAGCTGGGTTCCTGGGGTGCAGTTTCCCAGGTTCTGTCCACGCCTGGATCTCAGTGAGATGAACTCACGTCTCCCCACCTAAAGCATCTCCAGCCAGAGGCCAGCCAACTCCAGGAGGCCGGGGGCCGCAGGGGCTGCACCTGTTTGCTGGGTATTTTTAGGACTGTTGATGAACACATAATACCCACCCTATAGTCAGAGAAAGACAATGCCTGCTATGTTAATCCCGTGGCTATTATAGTCAGTCATCTCATGAGCCAGGATCCAGGCTGGGGCACAGCGGGCAGGACACTGACCCTTCTTGGAGGCCAGGAAGAGGCCTTGTGAGCAGCAGGAGGTAAGGGGGCTCCTCCATGCTCGCTCCCCGTTTGGGGAGAGAAAGCGTCGGTGGGCAGGAGTGCCCTACCCTGCTCCCCAGGGCCCCCAGGCAAAGCCCCTGCCCTGTGGATGCTGACATTCTGCTGCCTAAGAGGGGCGGCCTCCATCCTGTTCTGGGTACATCAACTTCAGGAAGCCCCACACTGGAAGACTGCCAGGGAACAAGGACGAGGCCTGGGAAGGTATGAAATCAGGGGCATAAGATTCCAAGTGGAGGGGTTGGGGTGAAAATCGGAGGTAAATGCCAGCCACATGGAGCAGCTGGGAGGCCAGAGGAGAATCTAGGGCTTGGAGAGGAGCTGCAGGAATTTTATTGCTTGGCCTATTTTTTTTTTCCAGTACTGGGGATTGAACCCAGGGAACACTGAGCTACATCCTTTTATCCCCAGATTTCTTTTTTTTTTTAATTAAATTCTTTTATTGGTACATTGTAGGTATACAACACAATTACATTCCTCATTGGGAATTGTACCTTTACATAATGCATCTCGGTTCTTTTTTTTTTAATTTTTTTTTGGTACCGGGGATCGAACTCAGTTCTTTGCGCTTGCGCAGCAGGCAGCAAAACCACTGAGCTCAATCCCCGGCCCTTTTTTTTTTTTTATAAAGCCTGCCTCACTAAGTTGCCCAGGATGGCCTTAAACTTAGGATCCTCCTGCTTCAGCCTGCTGAATAGTAGGATTATAGGCACATGCCACTCTATCTGGTGCCTTGTCTTTTCACATTGATCATTTATACAATCATTTTCTTGTAAACTTTAATGTACACCAAAAAATGAGTTATCTACAATGAATCCTTCTCCTTTTTGAAAGGGAAAAATAAGGTGAACACACTGACAAGAAGAAGCCCAAAGGAGGGTCAAGACAAGCCTAAAAAGTAGGTGACCAGGTGTCCCCAGCAAGATGTGGCCAATGCAGTCCACCAAGGGGATCTCCTCTCTGGAGGAGCCTCAAGGTCACGAACTCCGTGGATCTCGGGTTGTTATTCATCCCCAGACTCTGTTAGGCACCAGGCCCCAGGGTCCTGACTCCACGCCCACCCTACCACCCCTCCACCCCATGTGGCAGCCAGCTCTCTATGCTGAATGAAGACACCCATTCAGGTCCACTTGAACTAAGGTCCACTCTGAACTAAGATATCCACTCAGGTATGGAGGGAAGTCATGGCCTCACCCTCAAGCACATCAACTCTCTGGGCTCTTTCCCTGCTGTCTGCTCAGAGGCCACCTTCAAAAGCAAGACCATGGCCAAGCATGGTGGTGTGCACCCGTAGTCCAGCACTCATGAGGCCAAGGGAAGAAGGGAACAAGTTTGAGCCCAGCCTTAGCGATTTAGGGAGACCCTGTCTCAAACACACACACACAAGATTGTTGCCTTTGTGCCTGCCCTGGATTTCCTTCATCTATGCAGTGGATGCAGAAGACTCCAGAGCCTGCTCATGGGCCCCAGCAGTCTCTGGCAGGAGGTGTCCCCACCCTACTGAGGGCCTCTGAGGGATATCTCTGCCCTGCTGCCCTACATGTTGTCCTGGCTGAGTGTGCTTCTGCAGCCTTCTCCTGCCCTCCTTAGAGGTCCCTTCCTTTCAGTACACAACAAGGTCCAGATCACCACTTCCTACCCTGCCACAGAGCAGGCACAGCTCTCCTGGATCCTCAGGGCTATGTGTGTCCCAGGGGCCATGGAGGGCACCCCAAACACAGAGCACCAGGCAGAGCGTCCTGTGGCCAGCTGAATAATGCCCCCTCCAGAGATGTCAAAGTCTGAATGGAAATGTGAATATATCATCTTCTGTGACAGAAGAATGGAGCAGATGTGACTCGGTTAGAGATTGAGATGGAGATTATTCTTGATCACCTGGATGGGCAGGATCTAGTCGCCAGGGCCTTCACAAGACAGAGAATGAGGATGAAGGTTGAAAGAAGGTGTGACAAAGGAAACAGAGGCAAAAGAAAGAGGAGAGAAGATGCTGCATGGTTTGCCTGCAAGATGGAGGAAGTGGGACCATCCCTGAAAGACAGGTGGCCTCTAGGAACTAGAAAGGCAAGGTACAGCCCCTCTCCCGGGTCTGCAGAGGAAAGCAGGCTCCAACATGGTCTCTCGGCCCCTTGAGACTGCTTTTGGTCTTTGTCCCCCCAGAACCAGATGATAGTAAACTTACATTGCTTTGAATCACTGAGTTGGTGGTGATTTGTTATAGCAGCAATAAGAAACTAATACACATGCCTTACTGGGCCCTGGACTTCATGGTTCAGATGTGCTCGGGACCAGCGGGCAATGGGTGGACTTAGAGGGTCAGGGAGAACCAGCCCAGTTCAAGGCAACCCTAAGGCACAGCCTCACAATTCCAGGCAAGAATCCAGCCCTCCCAGGGGCCAGGCCTTCCTTAAAGCCAGCTCTGAGGCAGCCAAGAGGATCCTGGGATGTCAGAGGAGGAAGACCTTCCAATCCACCCAGTGTGCCTGGAGGAAAATGAGGCCCAAGAGGAGAGGCCACCTGGAGAGGGGGTCAGGTCTTCTATCTGGCAGCCCAGTCCTCCTGCCCCACACTGTCCTGCAAGCAGGCACTTCCCTAAAGTCAACATTAGCCAAGTGTGGTGGCACATGCCTGTAATCTCAGCACTCAGGAGGCTGAGGTAGAAGGATCGCCATGAGTTCAAGGCCAGCCTGAACTACACAGCAAGACCCTGTCAGAAAAAAAGAGAAAGAAAATAGACCTAAAGTCAACATTAGCCTCCTTCTACTTCCCCTGCCCTCCTTCCTTTTAATCCTAATTCGACTCTGTCCCAGCCTTTAACCCTGACAAAGACTCCAGAACCTGTAGGTGGCCTTGGTGCAAATTGGACAACAGCACCCCCTCCTGGTGCACACAGGTACAGGCCTTCTCTAGGGGCTGTGGGCTGCATTTCAAACCCTGCTCCGGCCTGGTCAGCGCTCGCTTGAAGTAAACCATGTATTCAACTGTAGACGCCAACCTCCTAGAACAGTGATGGCAAAACTTTTAGAGACCGAGTGCCCAAACTACAACCCAAACGCACTTATTTATGGCAAAGTGCCAACTTTGCAAATAAACTTGAATACTGAAGTTTTAGTTTAGAAAAAACAACTCATACAATTGGCTCATGGGCCAACAGAGAAGGCCCTGCATGCCCGCTTCGTTCACCATCACTGTCCTAGAACCTTCTCCTTCCTGCTCCTTGTTCTCTCATTTGGTTTCCTGAGGTGGCCACTTCCCTTCTTTTAATCCACACACCATGCACACACCATGAAAATGCTAACACTGGTCTTATTCCAAGCCTCACGCAGCTTTATCTACAAGCCCTGCTCTGTGCTGAGTCAGTGAGCCTTACGGACTCCTACCCGAACTCAGCTTCATGGCAAAATTGGCCCAGCTCTCTGAATCCCGACTTCCTCATTTGTAAAGTGGGTTGTGTGTCCAGAGACCCCTGACCCTGGCTTCCAAGGGGGCACCCCTTCCCTTCCTGGAGGCCTCCTCCTTGACGCAACACTGATGGCTTCCCCTTAGACTCTTTTGAAAGTCCAGGCCACACATCTGTAATTCCAGCATTGAGGAGGCTGAGGCAGGAGGATCACTGTGATCCTGAGCCCAGCCTGGGCTACATAGCAAGACCCTATCTCAAAAAAAAACCATACATAAATAAAATAAAAAGGGTCAGGGATGTAGCTCAGCAGTAGAGCGCTTGCTTAGCACGCATGAGGCCCTGGGTTCAATTCTGGTACCATAAATAAATAATGTCCAGGGAGAGTCTGAGGCAGCCCTGACCAGAGCTGGGCCTCACGGGGACAGCCTCGAGTCAGTGCCTCCCAGCCTTCTGTGGCTCCTTAGCTCAATGGGAAACCGATGGGACAAAGCAGGGGAAGGCTAGAGAGCCAGTCCCGGGGAGGAAGGGCACATCCGGGAGACAGGGAGGAGCTCAGGCGGGTGTTGGCGGAAGGAGGAGACCCGGAGGAGTTTCTGGCCTCTGTTCCCCCCATCTTGCAGCAGCATCTTTGTCCCTCCTGGGGCTTGAACGTCCCCAGGGCAGGGGAAGGAAATGTCTGGCCAGAAGAGCTAAGCCTTGTAAGGCCATGGGTTGTGGAGTAGGG